TAGCTAAGAAAATAGGTTTTGTTGAGACATGGGTTACTTCTTAGCCTTAATTGATTTCCTTGGCTATGAAGGGTCTTTCTCTAAGTCTTTCTTCGTTCTTGATTTCTCCTAGGGAATTCTTGGAACTCCTTGTGGTGTGAGAGATTATTGTGGTGTGGGTTCTAGGTGCCTCTTATGTCCCCTATTTATATACCTAAGAGTCCTAATTAGGGTCTAATTACTATAGGCTTGCTAACTCTATTCCTTTTAGGGCTAGGGGCTGGGTTTTAGAGGTGAGGGCCCACGGGCTATGGTGGGCCTTTTCCTAATTAATTACTGTAAATTAATTCTTTCTTTTGGGTAATTGGTTAAATGATTAATTGGTTTTAGGGGTCGTAAAAAGGGGTGTTACACCCCCCCTCTAGACTCTCACTACAACTCTATCGGGACCAACAAGTGGTATCAGAGCCAAATACCTTGAACGGTAAAGGCTTTGCATTTACTGCCTGGTAAATCCCTTATCAAATCTCTGAAAATTTGCATTTTTTCAGCTTTGCACAAACCTTTTTGTAAATTTGATGACTGGAAGATAAGAATGCAGGCCCTCCTCTGCTCCATACATGACGAGATGTGGGACGTCATAACAACTGGACCAATTACAGTCATGATGGCGAACACACAAGCTGCAGCTCAAGTGGCCGGTGCTGAGCAGATGATACCGAAGCGAAAAGATCAATACTGTGATACCCCATATTTTTCTAGGCACCATACGAGGACCGTATATGCGTATGGAGTTAATTTTATTAAATTCTCGGATTCCAAGTTTGACCTAATATCATCCTAAATCCATGTTATTCTTTGAGCCTAATAATTTCCTAATCATAAACAAGATTCCAAATCATATAGTTATGTAAATATTATATGTACTGTAATTAATTATCTATATGTGTTTAAGCTTTCCGTATATGAATATATGTACATAAGTCATGTATATATGTTTTTAATTGGTATATATATATATATATATATATATATATATATATATATATATATATATATATATATATATATATATATATATATATATATGAATGGTTACAGTATGGCTCACGTCTATGCATATATATATAACAAATATATACTACTTATCTTAATTTTATGAATCCTATTACTGTTTTATCTAAATTATATTATTCCTAAATAATATATATACTACTCAAAGTTAACCCTAATTCCATCCTAAACCTAATAGTCTATCACCCTAAGCCTACCTGCTGGCTAATAGTAATAGTTATAATAATATTATTAGGTTTGATTGATCTACAGGTTACTTATCAAGGTGAATAAGATTAAGTGTTGATATGAATTTTGGGTGTCGAGGTAAGATTTCATGTTCATCAAAATTATCATTTTTCCTTGAGTACTGAATGTATTGATTTTATATGAGATATATGCTATTAATGTGAACACAATTAAATTTATCGTGGTGATTTAATTGAGATAAATTTAATTGTTGTCTGTGGTGATTCTCGAAATATCGAGAATGGGCTTCGACGTGTCGTGCCCTGTGTGTGTAACTCGTTGGCTTGGAAAATTTTGGTGTATATACACGCGGTGAAATTTGTATTAACTTTATATTGTTGAGTAAAAATGATTTTGGACAAATCATGTGGAGAAAATTGTATTTTGAAGGAAATGGTATTTTTGATAAAAGTGTATTATAGAGAAAATTATATATTCGGGAGAAAATTGTATTTTTGTGGAGAAAGTATTTATCTGTGGAGAAATAATGAAATTTTGAGATAATAATGTACAGTAGTGTGGTGTTCAGTAAATGTGAGTACTGTTCACTTGGACTGATTACTAATCATTGGGCTTGGAATCCCATGAGGGTGTAACACATAGGTTGTGATCCAGTTTCCAAATTGTTTGAGGGGTAGCAGGTAGGAAAACCTGACTACTTGGATCATATACTACCCAGTGACTTGGAATCCTCTGGGGGTGCGCATATAGGTTTTGGTCCAGATTCTAAGTGAATTTCGATGAGGTTTGTTAATTCTCCACTTATAAATATTAATTCTCTATGCAAGGAAAAGTATAACTCCACATGTATTTTGGAAAAGAATAAAATTGTATGAGATTTGAAAATATAAAATCCAAGCCTATATTTTACGGGGTGAAATGGAACTTACTTAGCTTATGCTAATTTTTGTCTATTCTCTATCTTTTTGTGTCAAATAATTTTTACAGGTGAACATGGATAGGAATTCAAGATGAATTCAAGCTAAGAAGGAATTAAGAATAGATCGATAGGAGATTTATTATTTGAGAAGCTTTATGGTTGTATATTATTATCCTTTCTTGTATTATAGAAGTTGGATTTTGGTTGAGTTTATTTGATGTTGTAAATCTTAGCCTTAGCGTTTGGGTATAGGAAAATACCTGAGCGTGGCGGTAACACCCATTTTCTTTTGGTTAGTTAATGCTTCCGCTATGTTATTAGTGAATATTTCAATTAAGAAAGATTAAATATTAAGGAAAATTTGGTTATGAATATTGGGGTGTTACAAATTGGTATCAGAGCGGTACGAACCATTGGGATATAGAGAACCTATAAGTTATGAATTTTGGAATAAGAGCTTTGGTTTTTGAATTTTGGAATATAGGAGGTTAAGATAAGAAAAGTGAGAATATAGGTATTCGAGTTCCAAAGTGGTATGAAGCCTTAGTGAACCTATGACTTGAATTTTGGTATGATGACAAGTTAAGTAGGAACTAAGAGGTTATGTTTCGAGGACGAAACATCTTTTAAGGGGGGTAGAGTGTGATACCCCATATTTTTCTAGGCACCATACGAGGACCGTATGTGCGTATGGAGTTAATTTTATTAAATTCTCAGATTCCAAGTTTGACCTAATATCATCCTAAATCCATGTTATTCTTTGAGCCTAATAATTTCCTAATCATATGTACACAAGATTCCAAATCATATAGTTATGTAAATATTATATGTACTGTAATTAATTATCTATATGTGTTTAAGCCTTCCGTATATGAATATATGTACATAGGTCATGTATATATGTTTTTAATTGGTATATATATATATATATATATATATATATATATATATATATATATATATATATATATATATATATATATATATATATATATATATATATATGAATGGTTACAGTATGGCTCACATCTATGCATATATATATAACAAATATATACTACTTATCTTATTTTTATGAATCCTATTACTGTTTTATCTAAATTATATTATTCCTAAATAATATATATACTACTCAAAGTTAACCCTAATTCCATCCTAAACCTAATAGTCTATCACCCTAAGCCTACCTGCTCTCTCTTCCGTCACTCCCTGAGTCTCTCTTTTCTTCTCTCTCTCGCCGGTATTTCCCCTCGCATTGTAGAAGCCACAGAAGCAATTTGTGAATTTGGACGGCAAGAATGATATTTTAGGCGGATGAAGATGATGAACTGGTTCGGCAAAAGAAAAAAATTGGAGAATGACGATCAGTTGATGATGATGGGAGTTGATGATAATGGATTATAATATATATGATGATTAGTTGGGGTGGTGATATTGATGATTATTCGGCAGTGAGGTATTTATATAATAATAATGATAAGTATAATAATGATAAAGATGATGATTATGGAATGATATGATAATGTTTATGGCTAATAGTAATAGTTATAATAATATTATTAGGTTTGATTGATCTACAGGTTACTTATCAAGGTGAATAAGATTAAGTGTTGATATGAATTTTGGGTGTCGAGGTAAGATTTCATGTTCATCAAAATTATCATTTTTCCTTGAGTACTGAATGTATTGATTTTATATGAGATATATGCTATTAATGTGAACACAAGTAAATTTATCGATAAATTTAATTGTTGTCTGTGGTGATTCTCGAAATATCGAGAATGGGCTTCGACGTGTCGTGCCCTGTGTGTGTAACTCGTTGGCTTGGAAAATTTTGGTGTATATACACGTGGTGAAATTTGTATTACCTTTATATTGTTGAGTAAAAATGATTTTGGACAAATCATGTGGAGAAAATTGTATTTTGAAGGAAATGGTATTTTTGATAAAAGTGTATTTTAGAGAAAATTATATATTCGGGAGAAAATTGTATTTTTGTGGAGAAAGTATTTATCTGTGGAGAAATAATGAAATTTTGAGAGAATAATGTACAGTAGTGTGGTGTTCAGTAAATGTGAGTACTGTTCACTTGGAATGATTACTACTCATTGGGCTTGGAATCCCATGAGGGTGTAACACATAGGTTATGATCCAGTTTCCAAATTGTTTGAGTGGTAGCAGGTAGGAAAACCTGACTACTTGGATCATATACTACCCAGTGACTTGGAATCCTCTGGGGGTGCGCATATAGGTTTTGGTCCAGATTCTAAGTGAATTTCGATGAGGTTTGTTAATTCTCCACTTATAAATATTAATTCTCTATGCAAGGAAAAGTATAACTCCACATGTATTTTGGAAAAGAATAAAATTGTATGAGTTTTGAAAATATAAAATCCAAGCCTATATTTTACGGGGTGAAATGGAACTTACTTAGCTTATGCTAATTTTTGTCTATTCTCTATCTTTTTGTGTCAAATAATTTTTACAGGTGAACATGGATAGGAATTCAAGATGAATTCAAGCTATGAAGGAATTAAGAATAGATCGATAGGAGATTTATTATTTGAGAAGCTTTATGGTTGTATATTATTATCCTTTCTTGTATTATAGAAGTTGGATTTTGGTTGAGTTTATTTGATGTTGTAAATCTTAGCCTTAGCGTTTGGGTATAGGGAAATACCTGAGCGTGGCGGTAACACCCATTTTCTTTTGGTTAGTTAATGCTTCCGCTATGTTATTAGTGAATATTTCAATTAAGAAAGATTAAATATTAAGAAAAATTTGGTTATGAAAATTGGGGTGTTACAAATACACCTCAGATGGAAAGTGCAAGAATGCCATGGAAATATGGAAAGTTCTGATGGAACTAGGAGAAGGTGATGAACATGAGAAGGACAACAAACTGACTTTAGCTATGAAGAAGTTTGAAGACTTCAAAATGCTGCCAAATGAAACAATCATGGACATGGAGCTGAGGTTCACCAGACTCATGGGAGATCTGACAGATCTCGGGAAGGAACTATCTGAGAAAGAAAAGAATCTGAAGATTCTTCGTGGTCTGCCAAAATCTTGGGAAATGAAAGTCATTGCAATGAGAGAAAATCGAGACATGAAAACGACGAGCACAACAAAGATTTTCAGTGATCTTAAGGAGTACGAGTTTGAACATGAACTGAAAGATGTCGAAAAATCAGAAACGAGAAATGTAGCTCTCGTGGCTAGTCAACAAGCAACAAACTCTAACAAGTCAAAATCTAACTCTAGTGAATTCTTATCTGATGAGCAGTATGCCCTATTTGTTAGGAAAATGAAGAGGTTCATGAGGAAGAACAATTTCCAAGACTCACATCGCTCGGGCCACCGAAAACAACACGAAAGTTCACCTCAAACTTCAAAGGCAGAAACCCCAGACTCGCAATTGCTTTGCTACAACTGTCATAAACCAGGACACTTCAAGACCAATTGCCCTCACCCAATAGTGAGCAAACATCAAGACAGCAACGCTACCAAAAGTCCATCTAAGGAGACTGGAGAGAGATATAAAAGAAATGACAGGCCAGAATCATCAAGCTCCAGAAATGAAAGAAGAAGAAAGGCGATGGTAGTGAACAAAACTTCTGACACTGTTGAGGCCGAAAGTAGCTCATCAAGCTCGAGTTCAGACGATGAAAGTACTGAAGAGGAAAAAGGACTTCTATGCCTGTTTAGCCAAGAATCAGAAGATCTATGTCTTATGGCTGACGAAGACGAGGTAAATTCTCACTCATCCTCTTGTTATTCAGCTAAGTCCAGTTCTGTAGGGAGTCAAACCTCCAATGAATCTGTTACCGAAATGATGAGGAGGTTCAAAGTGATCAAAAGCACATACTCCAAACTTAAGGAGGAGAACTCTCGGCTCATGATTAGCTACAATGCGCTAAGGCAAGTTCGGGTTGAGAACATAAAGCTAGCCATTGCTAAGGAGCAACTTGAGAAAAATGTTCTCGCTCTGAAGGAGCAGTGCACAGCAAGATCAAAGAGAGAGCAAGAATTGCTTGAGGTCTTGGATAAATTCAATAATTCATCCAATTTAATGGATCGAATGATGAATGAATCTAGACTGCCCGGGGAAAGAACGGGAATTGGTTTTGACCCCAGCTCCTCTTCACAAGTCGGCTTGAACAAACCCACGAATGCATATTCTCACGAAAGCTTTCAAGCTGCATTTGTTCAAGGTCCAACCCAGGTGTCTGAGCCTATGACAGAGGTTAACAATGTCGCCACACCACAATCAACAAGCCTACCGAAAGGGAAGGCTGTACAACGAATTGTGGATCCTCGAAATGAAAATTCTTACAAAGGCAATCCTAGACAGAAATATGTCAAAAGGAATGGACCAAATGACAATAGACAAAATCTAAACCATAAGAGAGGTCAGCCTAATAAGAATATTCAATCAAGGAATAGGCTGAATGTTGACCAGAGGCAATATCGTCCAAAGCCAAAGAATCCTGATCAAGGAAACCCGAGAAATGGACGAGTTAGACAAAACGAAAGATCCTTCAAAGGATCCAGTTATGGCAATGGATGGACTGGACCATCAGAGGAAGATTGGTTTGATTATCCAGAACCTCTATCAAAAGCTGAATTTAAGATAACTCATCTGCGCAAACAAAACAATTATCTCAAGTATTACGAAAGTCCTCCTCAAGATTATTTTCGCAAGAGATATAATGCTAAAACCTTTGCCAGTATTCATTATGATTACTACACATTTAATGGGTACAGGGGGCCAAGGATGAGTCGAGGAAACTCTAGGCTCATGTGGATTCCAAAGCTGACATCTAACCCCCAAGGACCCGAAAATCAAGGGGTACCTAAAAACACATAATCTTTCTTGCAGGACAAACAAGTCATATGGTATGTCGATAGTGGGTGCTCAAGACATATGACTGGTGACAAAACAATGTTGAGCAATTTCAAGGAAGTAGATGGACCTAAAGTCATATTTGGAGGAGAAAACAGTGGCAAGACTCGTGGAAAAGGAGACATCATCAAACTGGGAATAACCATACAAGATGTATCATATGTTGATGGACTAAAGTTCAATCTTCTAAGCACAAGCCAATTTTGCAACAAAGGATACAAAGTCGAATTCTCCAAAAACGAGTGTAAAATCGTGAACACGAAGGATGGCAAAATCGTGTTAACTGGTCAACGAAAGAAAAACATGTACGTAATCTCGTGGAATTCTTCTAATGCTAACGTTTGCTTTGTGGCTAAAAGCAATGCAGATCTCAGTCAAGAATGGCACAACAAGCTGAGTCATCTAAATCTAAAGACAATCAACAAACTTGCCAAAAGAAATCTCGTGAGAGGTTTACCCGAAGCATCATACACAAAAGACAAAATTTGTGAGGCATGTCAAAAAGGGAAAGAAATCCAGTCATCTTTCAAATCTAATGATGTGGACGGAAACTCTTGTTGTCTAAGCCTTTTACATATGGATCTCTTTAGACCAGTTGATCCAGCTAGTTTAAGTGGAAGAAAGTATACTCTCGTCATAGTAGATGATCACACGAGATATACTTGGGTGCTTTTCTTGAAGAAAAAGAATGAAACAGAAGTTATTCTTCCCAATCTCTTGAGGCAACTTCAGACATAAAAGGAAGTCAAAATCATTCGGATAAGATCAGATCAAGGAACTGAGTTCGTAAACAAGATCATAAAAGAATTCTGTGCACAGAATGGAATCTTTCATCAACTCTCGGCAGCACGAACTCCTCAACAAAATGGAGTAGCCGAAAGGAGGAACAGAACCCTGAAAGAAGCAACACGAACAATGATCGCTTACTCAGGACTGCCAAAACGATTTTGGGCCGAAGCTATAAATACAGCATGTTACACACAAAACAGATCCCTGATCAACAAATCCCACAACAAGATGCCTTATGAACTATGGAAAGGTAAAATATCGAGTATTGGTTATTTTCATGTTTTTGGTTGCAGGTGCTTCATACACAACAATGGAAAGAATCATTTGAGAACCTTTGACGAAAGAGCAGACGAAGGTTTGTTCATGGGTTATTCCTCAGTAAGTAAAGCATTTAGAGTTCTAAACAAACGAACAATGGTGATTGAGGAATCCATTCATGTCAAATTTGATGAACAATTTGAAAAGAATCTAGCTGGAATTGAATCATCAAGTAATCCACTTCAAAACCCTCAATCAAATGAAGAAGCGGTTTCAGATGATGAAGATGACATATTATCTTCCTACACGAAATATCAGTTGAGAATCTCAGAGCCCGAAACTATAACTCAAGAAAAAATTGTTACACAACAAAGTGCTCCTGATGCTCCTACACCATCCGAACCCATGATATATGTTGAGCTACCATATATTCCTGAAATGGATGCTCAGAATCAGCAAAATGCATTTGAACCCAATCTTAGATGGTTAAGAGATCATCCTCCAGATCAAGTAATTGGAAATGTTCAAGAAAGCGTGAAATCAAGAGCCTCTCTGCATGAAAATATGATGGCATGCTTCTTATCACAAATGGAACCCAAGTCCATAAAAGAAGCTTTAAGCGATCCTGACTGGGTAATAGCCATGCAGGAAGAGCTTCATTAGTTTGAACGAAATGATGTGTGGGAACTTGTGACGAGACCAACACATCAAAATGTTATTGGAACCAAATGGGCTTTTAGAAACAAAATGAGTGAAGATGGACTCATTGTTAGAAACAAATCCCGTCTTGTCGCTAAAGGGTATTGTCAGGAGGAGGGAATCGACTTTGATGAAACCTTCGCCCTTGTAGCTAGACTTGAAGCCATACGAATATTCCTAGCCTTTGCAGCTTACAAAAACTTCAAAGTCTATCAAATGGATGTCAAAAGTGCATTCTTAAATGGGCTCCTTGAAGAAGAAGTATATGTTGAACAACCGCCTGGTTTCGCGGTTAACAATGAACATGAAAAAGTCTACCATCTCAAAAAGGCTCTTTATGGTTTAAAACAAGCTCCACGAGCTTGGTATGATAGTCTCTCACACTTTCTTATAAATTGTGGTTTCACGAAAGGAGTTGTAGACAAGACACTCTTTCGTATAAAAGATGATGACCATATTCTTTTAGTACAAATCTACGTTGATGATATCATCTTCGGGAGCACGAACTGTAACACCCTGAAATTTTTAAACTTTTGGAGCTTATATAATAAAGGTAAGTTCTCATTAAATCCCAAAACATAATATAAATAGTACAGGGTGCTATGCCACACCTGAGCTAGAGAACTCAGGTGCACAGGCTAACTAACTAATATCCTCAATAATGTAAATGCATAAGCATGGCACGCAGGCCGAAAGGGAAACTATCTACTTCTACGCTCCAGGATTCTAGCGCGCTCCAGTGTCTACTCCTATGTGCCTGAAAGCCAAATATATCTGTTTAGCGAGAGATGCCGGTAACCCACTCCAACGCGTTGAAATACAATACATATAGATATATACAAAGATATACGAAAAAACCATTTCGAAGCATGAAGATATATCCTAAGAGACTCTAGCTTTCAAAACAGGGAATAGACTCGACAGATAGGGATAAACACAATCAACTGTCATTATCAAGCATCTACAATTCACAAGCGTAGGGAACAGATTCGACAGGGAAAGATAACCACAGCCAATAGTCATAACCAAGCATATACAGCTTACTAGCATGTATCCTATGGTCACGCTTTCATAGCAATCATAACACCAAATCATCCATATCTCATCACATAGCACACTTTGATGGTGCCACAGGACCAATCGCATGCCCATACATGAGGGTCAGCGCATATAGCTCTGACACAGCCCCGCAGCACCCTGCCCCGTATCGCAACACGGAGGGGTCGATCGCAACCGATCGATGAACCGCAACTCATCATAATGTTTGATCGCAACCAAACAGTGGACCGCAGCCCAAGAGTAGTCATCTGACCGCAGCCAGGAATATGAACCTGTAACACCCCGTGTTACGACCCCTAAGATCAATTAAATCATTTAATCAATTACCCCAAAAGAAAGAATTAAATCACAATAATTAATTAGGAAGGCCCACCATAGTCCACGGGCCCTTATCCCTAAACCCAATCCTTAGTCCCAAAAGAAATAGAACTAGCAAGCCCATAATATTAGTTCCTAACTAGGACTCCTAAATATATAAATAGGGGACTTAAGAGGCACCTAGAAACCCCCCACAAGAATAACGCCCCACCTCCCCAAAGAGCTCCAAGAATCCCCCTAGAAGAAATCAAGAAAGCAAGAAAGCTTAAAGAAAGACCCTTCATAGCCAAGGAATTAATTAAGGCTAAGAGGTAACCCATGTCTCAAAAAAACCTATTTTCATAGCTATGATTTCCCCCGTAGGATTTCCCCGTATTATTGTGTATTGGTGACTTGTGATATTATTATTGATGATTGATGGGATAATTCCATGGGTAATCTTGATATTGGGAGATTCTTGATAATTATGGTGTTCTTGATGATTATGTGGAGCTCTTGATGATTATATGTCGTTCTTGATTATTGTATGGCATTCTTAATGCTTATGTGTTATTTGTACCGAAACTTGTAATTAGAAGACGAACCGTATTCTTATTGATATAAAAGTGATTAGAACCCTAGGTTGTATCGTATGATCTTATTCTTGGTTTATCGGGTGGGGAAATCGCATGTTTGGGTGTTGATTATGTTTAGAAAAGCATGATAGGTTATGTGCCGATCGTTTCCTGATTCTGATCCGTTAATTGTCTACGTGTGTTATCAATTGCGTTTGAAAGTGTCCAAGCATGGTTTCGGGTTCCACAAAGGTTCCCGGGGTGAATTTGTGTGATAAGAGTCAGTGGGGGGTAGGTGGGGGTAGGGGACCCGCCACCTACCCGCGGCCTCCTTGGGCAACGCCGGCAGCGGGCAGCCAGCGGGCGGGCAGCTGCCCGCCGGGCACCCGCTGCCCGGTCTTGTTACCGCCGGCGGGCAGCCGACGGGTGATCCCTCACCCACCGGCTACCCGATGGTTTGCACCCCAATTGGGGATTTCGGCTTCCCCGTTTGATGTTTCCCCGACCCCCGAGGTGTCCCAACGGACTCCGTGTATCGTGCCTGTGTCTAGTTTGATATTTCGGGTACCGTTCGTAGGTTTATAAGTCTACTGTATTGCATGCTAGTTGAATTGGTATCCCGTTGACCTAGGTGGAAGAAGTATGAACCCCTTAGGACCATTCTTAGTATGTGATGAATCACGCATAGGTTTTGTTATACGTTTTCTCCCCCTTCCCAATGTGTCAATGTGGGCTGCATGTACTTGCTATGTGTTATGTGTTCATGTAACCCCGAGTTGGTTAAGATCAATCGGGCTATACGGGCAGTCGGGTGGGCTGAGAACCATACCGGCTGTTAACCAGGCTGGTAGGGACCGGTCAGGTATATAAATACTATATAGGACTAAGTTCCACTATACGGGCAGTCGGATGGGCTGAGAACCATACCGGCTGTTAACCAGGCTGGTAGAGACCGATCAGGTATATAAATATTATATAGGACAAAGGTCCACTATACGGGCAGTTGAATGGGCTGAGAACCATCTCAACTGTTAACCAGGCTGGTAAAGACCGGTCAGGTATATAAATATTATGTAGGACAAAGGTCCATCAGTCGGTTGCGATCGACTCCTCCGTAATGTGAGACGGGGCAGGGTGCTGCGGGGCCGTGTCAGAGCTATATGCGCTGACCCTCATGTATGGGCGTGCGATTGGTCCTGCGGCGCCAACAAAGTGTGCTATTTGATGAGATATGGACGAGTTGTGTTTATGAGTATATTGGGGGAATGTGACTATGGGATTTATGCTGGGGATTGTTTATGTTGGGTTATGATTATTATTCGTGAACAACTTTACCTGTCTTGACTGTTGTGGATTATATACGCTTGATTATAACTGTTGCTTGTGTCTAGCCTTATCTGTCGAGTCATTCCCGGTTTTAAAAGCTAGAGTTCGTAGGATATATCTTCATGCTCAAAATGATTTTCGTATATCTATATATATCTCTATATGTAATGTATTTCCACGCGTTGGAGTGGGTTACCAGTAGAGCTGTCAAAGCGGGCTGGCGGGCCAAAGCCCGCCAAAGCCCGCCTTTTGGCGGGGCGGGCTAAAAAGCCCGCCAATAATACGGGCCTAGGTAGGGGCAGCCCGCCCCGCCCCGCCTTAGGCCCGCGGGCCCCGCCAAAGCCCGCCTTTTTTTTTTTTTTTTTTTTTTTAATCATGTGTGATGTGTCTATAAAATCTAAACTCTAATGTGATTATGTTAATAACTTAATTGCTATCTACTTAAAACACTTATTCATAAGAAAATAACATAAATTCGTTCATCACAACATGACAACAATGACACCAATAGGGGTAACCGGGTAAGTATAATTATTTCTATTATTTATATTATTATATTATACATATTATACATATTATTTTTAATATATATATATATATATATATATATATATATATATATATATATATATATATATATATATATATATATATATATATATATATATATATATTAGTTAGTTATATATATATATACACAGATTTATATATATATATATATATATATATATATATATATATATATATATATATATATATATATATATATATATATATATATATATATATATATAAACTTAAAAACTAAAAAAAAAAAAAAAAAAAAAAAAGGTGGGCTGGCGGGCTACCCGCCAGCCCGCCAAGCCCGCGGGCTAGGCGGGGCGGGCAAAAAAGCCCATTTTTAATACGGGCTTCAAAACCATGAGCCCGCCCCGCCCGTCAAAAGGGCGGGGCGGGAAAGCCCGGCGGGCTAAGCCCATTTTGACGGCTCTAGTTACCAGCATCTCTCGCTGAACAGATATATTTGGCTTTCAGGCACAGACGAGTAGATCACTGGAGCGCGCTAGAAGCTTGGGCATAGCTTAGATAGTTTTCGCTTTCGGCCTGCGTGCCATGATTTAGTATTGATACTATTTGAGGATATTAGTTAGTTAGCCTGTGCACCTGAGTTCTCTAGCTCAGGTGTGGCATAGCACCCTATACTCTTGTGTTATGTTTTGGGATTTAATGGGATTTCACCTTTATTTTATAAGTTTTAAATATCTTGAAAATCTGGGGTGTTACAGAACCGCAGCTCATGTAAAACATTTGATCGCAACCAAACGGTGGACCGCAGCTCAGGAATAACCAATTCGATCGCAACCGAATTGGGGTATCATGCACACATAACACATAACAAGTACAAACAACCCACATTGACACATTGGGAAGGGGGAGAAATCGTATAATGAAACCTATGCGTGATCATCCACATACTAAGAATATTCCTAAGGGGTTCATACTCCTTACACCTAGGCCAACGGGATACCAATTCAACTAGCATGCAATATATAAGACTTATTCCACCTACGAATGGTACCCGAACATCAAACTAGACATAGGCACGATAGACGGAGTCCGTTGGGACACCACGGGGGTCGGGGGAACATCAAACGGGGAAGCTGGGATCCCGAGTTGGGGTAATTTCCAGCGGGTATCCGATGGGTG